AGAACAAGTGTAGAGAAGGGATGATGAGTGAATGAGGAGAACTTGGATCGGAGAGCTTTTATATAGTCCGAAACCATTCCATAGGAGGTGAGGCACGTGTTGACAACGTGGACTGAATGTTTAACATGCCCCAAACCCATGTGTTTCCGTTGTATCAATTCTCTGGCATTTACAGTTTGAATATCTTTTTATGCTGCAGTAATTTCTTTGCCATCCTGATTACCTACAAATTAATATCCCCATCCATCAGGTGAGGGATTTAGGAAGATATTTAAATATCTGTTTCACACTCAGGCATTTAATTACACTTAACAACACAAGTAAGAAATATGTTAATACCGAACCAGTGGAAGAATTGTTTATAGCTAAAAAGTGCTGACTCTTTGTGGTGCCCTTTGACCATGTGAGTGCCTAGGCATATTTTAGTTATGTCAAAAGGAAATGCAGCTACTATCTGTAACTCATTTGCAAGGTATTCAGAGACAGAAAAACTTAGGTGTCTCACCAATGGTATGTTCTCCTGGCTGGTTGCATCTAGTTTCTGAGAGTTCAAGGTCACATTTAGAACCTTGCATCCATAAACCAGCTGGGACTCTCATGTCAATTGATCTTGATCTGCACCAGAAAGACTTTTAAAGCGTCTGGATATCCTGCTTGTGCAAATAGTCATGCAGTTGCAGCGCAAGGAAGGGCAAAAAAATATTGCGCGTACAAACACCCTGATCTTCTCTTTGCCCTCCTTCTGTTTTCTTCCTTTAGTCCTAAATTCTGTCATCTTTCAGTATATCAGAGGTCTCTTTTGCATGATCTTAGAAATGCAAGCAGATAGTTGCTATGAGGCAGTGATTGGATGTGAAATTTGTTCCACTGTTCCAAAAACAGTACCTCCCTCAAGGGATCTTTTGTTAATGAAAGCCCCTTGGTTTTGTCCAGGTTTTTTGCAGATCAAAGGGTGCCTGAGAGAAGCTCAATGATAATGACTGCAAAAGTGTGCAGTTTGTGAGGGTAGGGCAAAAAGTGGGATGAACATACCCTACGCTCTGAAATCTGAACAGACTTTAGAAATACAGTCCCCTTGCTTAGGATTTGTAAACCTGTCCAAGTTCAAAGCATGGAAACCACAAAAATGAATCAGCCCCTGCTGCATGAGAAGCACAGGTCATGTCACTGGCTGAGGAGCTCAGTGCACTATTCACAAAGTTGAGAATTGGGAATTTCTTAGTTCCGAACTTAGCTCCTACACAAATTTGCTGGGAACCCTTAAGCAAGCTGTCAAGGCATCTGCACCTGTGAATGCCATGCAAATGATCTGCACCAGGTCATTAACCATTTCCATGTGACATGAAAATGATCTGAGGCCGTCAAGTGGCCAAAGGGCCTTCATACTGGCGGGAAAGAGCACTTCTCAGTTCTATGCGAGTCTTGCACTGAGTCAGTTTTGATTAGTGGACACAGCCAATCTCTCTGCTTCTTTGCTATTAGTGTTGCTGTATGTGTAATACATGTGCAAATACCTGCTGGATTCCTTCACAGGGTCAGTGGCTGGATTAATTGGTTGTTAATCAGCAATGGGCTGAAATCATTATAGTAAAACACCAAGTACTGTGGGGTGGCTGATACATCCGGTGCACATGGGCCTAGGCATGGAAAGAATTAAGGTAGCATTGCCAACAGGCGTCTTATTTCCCACAGAGCAGTTTCAAACCACATAAAAGCTCCCCCGTCGCAGTGCTGCTTATTCACTCATTGTTGCTTCTCCACACCTGTGCTTGTGGCTGAACAGGGTGAGTCTGCTCGTTTTGCTCTACCTCCTATATGTGGGCAGAAGACTCCATAGAGACTTTTTTCCAGGGCAGTTTTGAATTTTGAGGGGAGTTTATGAATTGGGACTTTTCCTAAACCTATGATCTGACTGCCTGCCAGTAAAAAAAAAAAAAAAAAAGGAGAGTTGAATGTATGGGCAATAAGCCAAATGTCAGGATGAGATGGGAAGGTCGAAGGATGGGATATTATACAGCAGGGTGGCCAAAAGGAAAACAGAAGTCCAGAGCCACTCTATGGGAGCTGCCTTCCCTTTGGCAGGACTTTTCTTGCTGTACTGTAGTTCCAAGGCTGGTGGCAAGGCCACGTAGACAGGCTGCAGGCAGTAATATTGTTGGATGCGTGGCTTCCCAATTTAGAAGTGGAAGGGGAAGAGGGACTTTTCTTGAACTCTACAGAGAACAGGAAAGGGAGATGGAGGCAGCTCTTTCCTGGTTCCTTTCTCACAGACGGTCTCTTTCTTGCAGCTTTGCCTACGCCAGAAAGATGTGCTCCCACGGGTCCTGCCACAACCGCCACAGGTCCTGCCATGGCTCCAGCTCTCACTGCCACGAGTCCAGACCCTCCTGCAATATCGTTGTGGTAGAGAAGCCGTACTGCTGCCCCGTGCAGCGCTACTGTCCACCCGTGTCCTGCTGCTACCCACGCTACCAGTATTCGCAGTGCTGCAAGTTCCCACAGTACCCCAAGTGCCCTCCACAGTACCCCAAGTAGGATAACTACAAACAGCAAGACAGAAGCCAAGACCTTTCTGTTGCATTCTTCTTATGGAGCTGGTTTGAGTGCCTACAGCATGTCTTGTCTTGTTGCAAATTCATTTTCCCCCTCTCATTTAATTTGATTTATGAATGTCCCTAACATGCTTTGAAGACTTGCCCATTGTACGAGTGTGATGGACTTCTTCCTAAGAACCGCTTCTGGTGTCACTTACTGTTATTCTTGTGCATGGAATAGGAATAATTTCTGTTCTTCTTCCTTCACCTGCATATGAGATGCAATAAAACTTATAATTCAAGAAAAAGTCTTTGCTTTGGGATGTATTGATTCTTGGCCATCTCTTTTTGAGAAGTAGCTTTATTGATAGCTCTGTTCTTTCTTTCTGTTTGTAGTTTTATTCTTTTGCAATAAATTATCTAGAAGTCCACTTATAATGTAGGAAGGGGAGGCCTGTGAATCCCTGGTATGTTTGGGAAACACACACACGTACATGCACAATATATAATGGGCTGCTGCTAATCAGGGCAGAACTGTTGACTTCAGCAGAGTGGTGCCTGTTCACACCAGCTGAAGCACTGGTCCATCAAATTTACTCCTTATGGTGAGAAAAATACATAATTGAAGTGAGGTTTTCTCAAGTTCTCTAGAAGAGAATGGATACTACAGGGACCCAATTTTAGTTGTAGTAATATCCAGTAGTTTTGTTAATGCCTTCAATGGTAATATATGGAGTGGACTTATTAGCCTGACAGTAGGCACCAAGTGGGTAGTGTCAGGACCGAGGGCGGTCTGAGGCTATGGCCAGTAGTCCGGACCGTCAGGTGGGGTTTTTCCACAACGGAGTAGAGTTAGGCACGGAAGCGTATTGGTTTTATAAAGAAAGCTTTACTTACACTGCCGATGGTCACAGTGCAGGGAGGAAACTTGCTTGAGTTGCAGTTGCACACAAACAAACACAAGTGAGATCTCTTCCGAACCGAACCGAGATGAGTCGTCGATGTACGACTCCACGAGCGCTTCACACGGGGGTACGTCAAATTTTCCACTATGACAGGGAGTGGCTAAAAGCTGATCAGGCCTCTATGTCCTCCTCCAAGACACACGCGGAGTTTGCTAGGCTCCACAGCGCGCTCAGAGTTCCCCACGAGATGGTTGTGGAGTCCTCCAACTTGGGCGAAACCCGCTCCACCCTTTTATACGGCGAGCGAGCCAATTGCTAGCCGCCACGTAGGAATAATTTAGAATTGACCAATAGTGGGACACTAATTTGCATGTATGTGGCGGGAACTCTTTTGCACGGGGGTTTTCTCTCTGCAGCTGAGAAATCCACTGTGCAAAGAAAGCTCCATGTGGCGGGAAAATTCCAATGTGCCGAGGCACTAAAAATCATTGGGTTATGACAGGTAGGACTTATGAGAGCTGTAGAGACAGCAGCTAAAATCACCTGCTAAAATGGCAGTGCAAATGGTCTTAAATACTGACGGTGAAATTCAGTAAGGACAAGTGCAGGGAAGTGTACCTGGGAAAGAGAAATGAATCATACACTTCAAAGCTGAGGAGCAACTGCCTACATAGCAGCTCAACAGGAAAGTATTTAAGGTTTTTAGTAGAGCACGAGTGGAGTGTGAGGTAACGTCTTGTTTTTGCAGAAAAGCCAACACCTTGCTAGGAGCTATGAAAGGAGTGTCTCCTGTGCTCCGCAAGTCTGTAAGACACATGAAGTAATCCTTCCATTATCCACAGCTCGTCTCGGAGAGAACAACCTGCACAATGCTGTGCGTGATGCTCGTGGTTAGAGGTGGACTAGTGGGAGCAAGCCTTTAAAGAGGATCAGCAATGACCAGCGGCAAAGAGACAGAGACATGACCTCGGAGGAATGACTGGCTTGTTTTTGAGACGAGAAGACTGAGAAGGGAAATGCTCCCAAAATGGCAAGAGTTACTGCAGAGAGGAAGTAAGAAATTGTTTTCCATGCATGTGTGCAGGGGAATAGGATGAGAAGTAATGGCTTGAAACTGCAGTGGCAGAGATGTATGGAGCTTTCTAAAGCTAAGAGGAGCAAAGTATAATTATTTAGTATGGGAGTTCCTGCAATTGCCATCTTCATGACTCTTGGAAGCAGATGAAACAAGCATCTGTCAGGAATGTTTTGGCTGACTCTGACCCTACCTTGGAGGCAGGAATACATTAGATGATTTCTCAAGGCACTATCCATCCTGTTTTCTGTAATGAAAGGGAGTTCTGGGATTTCAAGGGAGTGAAGGTGAGGACAGAATTGTATTTCTGGAAGAGGGAGGGAGGTGTCTGTGTGTTTCTAAGGGGCAATCCCATTCCTACAGTGGGTCTACTATGGACCTAGAAGGGGTAATCTGATGGCTTCTACACTTAGAGTAAATCAACATTGACTGTAAGTCACACTTTG